TTACTTGCAGAGCAAATCCATGACTGGACTTTAGTTTACATTCTCCTTGGTCAGTCTGCTTTTTATAATTTCACAGTAGGTGCATTTGCTGAAGAATCTTTTTAAAGCTACAGAATCTTTATCTTCACAAAATAGTAAGCATGGCTCACTACCACATTAGTTTTCAACTTTTTAAAGATTGTGCAGTAACTGTTTGTGAATGAAACATTTAAAATATTCATAAACAAAAGCAAAACACACAGAAGGATCCAGCATCATGCATTTGTTTGTATTTCCCTTTTTAAAAATGAAAGACAGGACAAAATGCGGCATCACATGTTGGTGCTGTTGGTGTGGCATGACAAATGATGGTTTTCTTTAGGTTGTTTTATTGTCAGATGTCATGAAAAAGAAAGACATTTTTATTAAATTATTATTATTTACCTTTTTTTCTTAGTCATTGGTATAAAATCTGCTGTCTGCATGTCATGCAATTCTAAACAAATATTCATGTGAGAAGAACAAGAGAATGTATTATTGTCACAATAACACAGAGCCATCAAGCTGTCAGGCTGTGACTTGACTCACTAATCATTTATATTCAGCTGCAGGATCTACAGTTTATCATCAGTGGGATTAAAAAAAAAAAGCAGAACTTTAGATTAATACTGCTTGTGTTTTGACTGACAGCCACTGGTGGTTTAAGTAAAAAAAAAAGGATTTATCAGACAGAAAAATGGTGTTTACTGCACTTGATGAATTATAACCACATAGCAGGCCATAATACATTTTTCTCCATTAAATCTTTTTATCTTTCTACACAGAGTTGGGACCACCTGATGGCCTACTGCATCTTAAAGACAAGTTGAAATGTCACGCGACTGCAGAAAATTTAGAAAACCTTATTTCAATGTGAAAGCAATTATGACCATTTAGCACTCTAAATAGGAATATATTTTTTCTGCTGCTTCCTTGATCTGCTGCTTCCTGTTTCTATGTATTTGCCATAAGAATCACATTTGTGGCTTCTGATAAGTTATTTACAGGGAAACCTGCAATTCACTACAAATGCAGGTTTCTTTTTCTCCGAAACTTGTTTCAGCCTCTGTGTGAGAGGAAGCATAGCATTTTAATCCACCTGTCAGAGAATGCATGCAAGCCAGTTATTTGGATAAATACAGAGCACAGTGAAACTTGAAATTTTATAAAAATGTTTTGGCTTGTTGTACTTTTCTTCATGACCTTTGCAATTGCACTCAGAAGGATTAATAAGCAAAAATCAGAAATCTCTCTTTTTTATGAGATAATTTTATGTGTTGCACCACAATTACCTTAAAATGTGCTACTTTTACTGCAAAAAATGATACCCAGGCTTTATCCTTGACAATCTACTGAATAAATGTAGCTTTTAAGTTGAAGAACTGGTATCTACAACTTGATATCTAAGTAACCTGCCTGTTCATGTGATTTGTAGGTGTGCGTGTTTCCCCAGGTGGGGAAAACCGTCGACAAGACCACGATGGGGGGGGGGGGGATTTTGTTGTGAGGGATCTCTTGAAATCCTTTTTATAGCAGCCGGAGAGTGGCAGAACCGCAAAGCTGTGTCACAGTGATGTTACGTTTTATATCAATGTACAATCTTTGTCCAGGGTTTTGGGGCAAAATCTGGGGAACAAAATGCCCCTGAAGGGGGTTTTTAATATTAGCTTAAGAAATATTTTCTTTTACCTACATCAGATGTTATAATGAATCCTGTATTGATTTGAATAAATTTTGGGTTGGGAGACTCTGAGCCAGTGTTTTTGTTGCACTGGCAAAAGCAAACTGAACCATTTACCGATTGAGTAAATTAACCATTTTGGCCATAAAAACAAGCAACTGCACAGCTCTTAAACTGATTACTCAGCATGAACACACTTTAAAAATATTTGACAAGTGCAGTTAAACTCTCCAGAAGGAAATATGCCCAAGGAGAAGGACAAGCAAGTAATCAATTAACAGAAAATTACAGTATTAATGGACTGTCATATATTTTTACCCTGATATAAATGTCAGTATTTATTTCAGGTTCCTGTGGAGAACTGCTGCAATTATTTTAAGCCTAATAAAACATCAAAATAATCTCGACAAAAGCAAGGCATTTTGAGCCTGTGTGCATAGGCTCATAATGCCTACACACAGGCATTAACTTTAAAAATGATCAATCCTCTGGTTGATTGATCTCCAAAGGAATAATGAGGGGTTTTTTTTGTTAGACCTTAAAGGTTACTGGTAATCAGCCAAAGGAAAATATGCCCTTCTTGACCTTATTCATCTAGCCTTTGACCTTTTTTGAGTAGTGACTCCCAAAGCCGCAGCTCACATTATTGTGTGTGTGTGGATCAATAAGGTTTACAGAGCTCCAACATAAAGGCGTTTATTAATAAGCAGTAGAATAATCTTGAACTTTTCACTCTAAGAAATGTAAGGGGATAAACTGAGACTAAACTAAGGGCAAAAACATTAAACTGGAGTTTCTTCAACATCCATATCATATGGTTCCTGTAAGAAATCCATATTTTTAAGCAGTTCAACCCACAGTTATTTCCCCAGGAGCCACAATCGATGTGCCAGATTGAGTGCTGTTTGCAACAACTTTGCATCAATAAACGCTGGAACAAGGTTGTGCATCAACATCAAGATCCTCTGTGGAATGTTAAACCTGAAAACCCTATGCATTTACTGCAAATAATTATTTGCTTTAGCAATTACTTAAGAATTACTGAAACAAAGGAACAAGGGAAAGGTCTGCGAAGCTCTGGGAAAAAAAAAGTCTGAGAAAAACACAGCGTCTTTCTTGCAAACACAAAAAAAGAATGGATGTGAAACATTTTCCCTGAAGAAATTAATGCTTCAGGCTCTCATTTTTAAATCCACAGTTTGGAAAAAAATCTCACAAAAGGCATTAAGAGAATGAACGATATGCATACTTGACACACCAAATGGATTTAACGATTGCGCAGGCCAGAAATGCTTTTAGTTGCTGGTGAGACTGCTGACCTGTCCAGGGTGTTCTGACCTCTTGCCCATTGATTATTTGAGATAGGCACCAGCCATAGCAAACCCAGGTGAGAGGATACAACAGATAGACAGACACAGGGTAATGGACTGATCCATGAACAGTTGAGATAATCACACGTATCACCGACACGAACAAAACTCTACAGAGTACAGAAAATGAAGGGTTAAAATAAAGAAGAAAACTATGGTAGAGGTCATGAGGGTGAACTCCTCTTTTCAGGTCAAGGGTCAGTCTCAGCCTTAAGCAACGAGTTCAAGAGTTTAATTTATAAGCAGCAGGAGGGAGCAGGACATAGATGGATGGGGGCCTCATCTACAATGATGGAGTAAATGCCGCAATTTCTTGTGTTAGGAAAGAGCTGAACCAAAAAGCTATCAATTTACTGATTTCATACACTTTGACTCTAACCTATGGTTACAGTGGATGAAATTAACTTCCTCCATTGAGTGGCTGAGATACGGTAAGGTAGCATTGGGGAATTTTTAAGAAAAATGGCTTCTTCTCCTGTTTGACAGAAGTCAGCTGAGGTGGTTCAGGTTGCTCATCAAGATGCATTTTGGGTGTTTCTGAAGTACCAAAAACGAGGAAATCCCAGGGAACGCACTGGAGGAACTGTATTTCTCTCCTGGCATATTCTTTTAAAAAAGCTTTTACTGTTTCTCTATTTTGACTACTGTTTGATTAAGCAACATAACTTCTGCCATTATTAAGCATTTCTTTTTTTAAGTCTCCCAGCTCCATTTTGTGGGATTGATAGGAGTGAAGCAATGCGGGGCTGCAAGTGCATTTATTATGCAGTGCACTGCATTTGTTAGTCTAATAAACTTTTCCATCTTACTTTCTTTCTCTACTCAACAGGGGAAGATCCCAACTCCTCTATTTAGATTATAGTAAGTAGATGAACAAAACTTTACATCATCATCTATTCCTGTTTGTTTTTCTACGGGCTACGAGTTGCAACATTGAGCTGCCGCTCTGCCCGTCTGCTGGTGAAGTTCACAGGATCCAGTGGCACTGACTGTATTACAGTTTCGCTTTTGCCAATTGGTCCCAGATGTGGTTACAATGTAGCTTACCTAAATCAGTGTTTGAATGTGTACGTATATGGGTAGGTGAACCACTGAGAGTACAACAATGTTGGTTGGGAATCAGCGACAACGCATCGCAATGTACGAAAGATATTACACTTCGTCCAAATACTATAATGAATGACTTGTTTAAGAGGCAGCTTAATTTCAGCTGAGATGCTGTTGGTGATTTTTTTCAAATCCTCTTTCATAGATTTTCTTATTCTTTCTTTTATTGTTTTCTGTCTTGTCATTGCAGCAATTCGTGCTGCCTGCTGCCACTGCACTTTAATCAGCTACTCCACCCCTCGCTGAGCTCACAGCTCCTCTGTGGACAGTCTGTCCTTGCCTGCCGCTGTCACACACACAAACACATGCACACACACGGACAGAAAGGCTCATACACCTAAATCACTGCACCATCATTTTCTGTCAGCCACACTCTCCCATCTCACAGTTGAGTGGAAAGATGAGCTGCCTACTTCTCACGGGGCAGAAGGTGAAAACACACACATTTGTGCGGAAATAATCGCGCACACAGCTGAGCATCTACACCACCAAAAGTCTCCGTCACACACAACTGGCTTCCAGCATATGGATATTCCCTTTTCACTTTAAATCAGGGAGCCTGGCCCAAAACCCCTGGACCTGCAAGCGTACCTGTCGCCTCTCTGAGATTGGATCCAGAGTTCCAGACACAGACTGGAAACAAAGCCTGCAGAAAGAAGCTGGCATTTTTCCTCATGAATCCAATGCACAGCGGAGTACAGATGTTGGCCTCAGCATATGGCAGCCATTATTTCCCCACATTTTTATTTTGATTTTTCTGCTCCAAGCCATATGGACACCTAGACGAGGTGTCTGCACTCTGGCTTAACCTGGCTGAGACTCACCGATCTCGCAGTTTTCTCCAGAGTAGCCCTGAGGACAGTAGCAGCTGTAGCTGTCGCCTTCCTCCAGGCAGCTCCCGCCATGGAGACAGGGGCTGGTCTGGCACGGGTTACTCTCCTCTGTACAAAGAGATGGGCAGAAGGTACAGGAAGGTTAACTTCAAGTTTTTTGTTGTTGTTGTTTTTTTTAAGAAAAAGAATTACAAATGTTCCTTAATTAGCCAGAACATGAGCAGCAGCAAGTCATTGTCTGACAGACGGCCCACGCTGTCTAATAGAGATGGAGCAGCAGAGTGGGCTGACGGACCGCTGATTTGTCCTTGCCTCTCTTTCTTTCCACAAGGCGACAGATCATGTCCGTTTGAAAGGGTCCCCGCTCTTTCCTGTTGTTCTTTTCTCTCACAACTCAGTGAGTTTACGTCCAAATTAATTAGTTGCTCATAAGTGGCGCAGAAATCCATTTATATTCTATATTGCTGTTGTGCACTAAGTGCAATACACTCATTTTAGGCGGCTGGCGACTTCTCTGTGTGTTTTCATGGGAAATGCTTTGGCGGAGATTAAGGGGATTAAATTATAATCACCGCTCTTAAATTTTAGTAGAGGACTGACTGAGAGAGAAGGAGACTAAGGCAAGGACAGTTAGAGCAAAGAATGATTATCACAGAGTTTTCTGCTATTATGTGTGCAAAGAGAGAGACTGTTAGGCACTAGGTAGATTAAGTGTCTTTTTAATTTCTAGTCCTGATAGGATTGCACGGTCCTGACACAATCTGTCAAGCTATCCAATATATGGTGTTCTTTCACCATAATAACACCCAGGCTCACTTACTGATGTATGAGCATGGGTGATGCTGAGTGGAGCACGGAGTGCAATTCACATGGAAGCACGGAAATGCCCTCAATTAGTTGTGAGTTTGTTTATTCATGCAGACATGTACAAAGATAAGCGAGTGTATATCAAGATACGTACATGTCTAACCATAACTAAGGGACCATACGGGGCAGATAAATGCAACACATACGTTCTGTTCACATACGTTTTCACATTTTGCTACAATACAACCACAAACGTTTCTGTATTTTCTTTTGATTTTATGTGAGGGAAATGATGCATACAGCTTCACACAGTGGCATCTCTTCTGTGGCCAACAAAGCAATCTAGAAACTGAAGTTTTGCCCATTCTTCATCGCAAAACAACTCGAAATTCAGTCGTACTGGAAGGTTTCAGTGAACAGCTATTGAAATCTTTAGATTCTGAAGAAGGTTGAGGTTCTAACATGACTGTGATTTACTCTAACCAGCTATGGCAGCTCTGGTCTCATGTTTAAAGTTCTTCTCCTACAGGAAGGTGAACCTTCAACCCTGATGTTTAACTATTTGCAGTCTCTGGGCCACTTTAGAGAATGCAAATAGTCCCTATTTGCAGTCAAGCAAGCAGCTCTAATTGCAATCAATTTTGGGCACAGTCATGCCCAAAATTTAGCTCCATTCATCTACATCCAACAATTCAAGTACATAATTCATGTTGCTGCCACCGTCAACACTTTGGGAATGTTGTGTTCAGAAAATAGTGAAATTATGAAAAGAAAGTAGATCTGGACATTCTCAACACACTACAATTCTTTTGTGTTGATGTTTGCCTCAAAAGTGAGTGAACAGAGAGGCTTCAGTTTTGGGGGTGTCATTACTGGCATGTAAAACAAATGAGTTAAATTAGTGAATGAGCAACAGCAGAGGCAGAGACACAGAGGGGAAGTTATTGGTAAATCCTTCCCCATAACTTCCTCCTTACTTCCTTGTAGAGTAATGAGGAAGGGAGTATTGTATAAAGAAAAGAGAAAAAAAAAGAAGAAAGAAAAGAGAAAGAAACACAGAAACTTGGGGAAATACAGTGTAAAGTTTCAGAAATATTTACTGAACAGAACATGAATTACCATTGGAAATTTAACAATTTGACATAATCCACCCACAAACTATGTATCTGTTTAGGCTTAAAATAAATAAAAACAGAAAACTTTTGCAAAACATGTTGGATACATTGTCTTCTATAGGAGGTTGATATCTGTGGAAAACGATGTAAAAGAAAAAAAAAAGAACAGTTTCTAACCGAATGAGAAGAAGAATATGTACAAAAATATCATTGGTGCTGTTAGAGTCACTCTGTTAGGAGACTTTATTGCAGGTATTTTATTAAAACAACTGTTTAAAAATCTGAACCGTCTCTTTCACCAAAGTTATTAAGAGCCATTATGGGAGGTCCAAAGAGCCACACGTTGCAGACAACTAAGACTAAGTTCTGCAATAACCCCACATTTGCTTGATTTTTATTCTTTCACTTAAACAAGTTGCCAGTTATCAGGACTGAGTATTTCTTTTTCCTGTTTCATCTGTTTGGACCAAAAGAAACAAAAAAAAATAAAAAAAATTGCCAACTTTGACAGGACACAGAATTGAACTGCAATTTCCGCTGCTCACAACAGACAGGGCCACATTTGTCTGTGGAGACTCAACACTTCTCTGTGTGTTATATAATAGCAGGGCGACAGTGTCATTCCATTTAGCTACGGTGGGACAAACAGTCTGGCTGTGAATGACAAACTCGACAAATTTCAGAGGACCGACTCAGCCGTGTGGACGGCAGATGTAGACAGCAAGACAATTTTCCATCGAGAACAATAATACCTCCACAGTGTCCGGTCTTTGAGATCACACTCTGTCCCAAGAACTAAAAGATTACAGTAAAAAACACAGCTTCTTTTCATGTTGCAGTTTATTTCTACTGGTTTTACTGAAATGTAAATCTGCACAGTTTTACAATATTCACAATCAGAACCCCACATTGCCTGCATTTACATATATAAAACGTGGGATTTTCATTAATGTTATCAGTTATATATATATATATATATATATATATATATATATATATATATATATATATATATATATATATATATATATATGTATAATATTGACATTAACCCAGCATACAACAGTTACACAGGGTTAAATCACTTGTGATGTAGCAAGACAGTTTTAATGTCAGGCAAAATATTCACTGTTTCACATTGGAAGCATATTCCACAATGTATTTCACTTATGTAATACTCAGAAGTAAAAAAAAATAAAATAAAAAAAATACAAAATTCAAGTGTTGTGAATACTCGTCAGGTATCGAGGAAACCCTTCCAAAATGCAAAACTATTGCAGATTATTTTGAAGGGTAGTAGGCAGAGTACTGACAACATTGTTCTTTCGTCTGCGAATCCCTGCATGCAGCATTAGTGCAACACCTCAAACAGCAGGAATGTGACCACTGAGACAGACACATGGAAAAGACCAAGGAAAAACTGTGGTGGTACACATAGAGTATAGCTGACAGCCGAGCTCCAGTTCATCAAGCTGTCATGGTAAGTAAGGTCTCAGGAGCCGCAGATGTGAGCTTCTCATGGACGTTTCTGCTGTCAGTCATTCCACAGTGGGTGATAAAGTAGCTGCAGCTCCTGCTGCAATCTCCATTAATGCAACACACAGCATTTTTTTATTTTATCGCTGTCAAAAAAATTTATTTAAAAAAATCAGTCAGTCAGAAGCTGTTTGGGATTTGAGAACATTTTGATGGTTTGTATTTATGTCTCTGAGGCCGAGCAAGTTCTTACGCCTCTGAAAGCGTCCTTCTATTGGTCCAATTTTCTCTTTAAAAGAAACCATTTCTCAGCCTAATTAAATTGGTCCTAGCGAAATTGCCTTAATAATGACTTTAAAAGGACTTGTCCTCTAGCAGCTATCTGTGAGAAGTGAAATATGGTGGTCGCGCTGTCTGTGGTGACACAGTGAGCTGAGCTGCAACAGAACAGGACATTGATCCAATCTGCAGACAATTAGTAACGACTTATTACACCCAAATGGGGCTGCGTTCATCACCATCTGTCCACGAAGAACAGCCTGCAGGCTCCGTGGTAAAATTCCAGGTATCGATTGTGTGACGAAAGCAGCATCTTACCACAAAGAAAATGCTTAGCTTGAATACACAAACTCAGGGCTAGTTTTGTGTTAAAATATTTAGATTAGAGCATTTTCTTTTCTAGTTTCCCAATGCCTTTTAAATGCTGTTTAATGAGGAATGATTGAGCAAAACTTTAATATGCAAAAGAAACACAGATTAAAAGAGCATGTAAGAGGGGGAAATGGGATAAGGCTTATGCCCTGGTCTGCAGGAAAAAAAAAAGGGACGAGAGATTTAAAATTTAGCATGAAGAAGAGGGTGAGAGAAAAAAAACATCAAATGGGGGATGCGGGAAGCTATCAGACATTTCTTCATGTCTTAATGCTGGCTGCAGCTTATGATTAATTACACACCAGTCTTAAAATAGGTTGCTTGCCCATTCCCTACTGTGTGTCTGTCTTCTGCCACACAGAAAAAGTAACAGAGGAAAGAAGAGTCCAAAGAAGGGCACGGATGTCTTGTGCAGAGCAGGATGAAACAGACAAATAAAGAAGGGCAGACACAGAAAAAGAGAGATTATGCAAGGCTCTCAGCGTTCCAGCTTTGGGATTTGAGGTCCCAGATTGTGGGACATTTAGTGTATCTGCCACAACTATCGAACTCAGCGAAGTTTGTGAAATTGAAAACTTTCTGGCAACCTTGGGATGCACCGAAAAGAGGAACATGTGTATGCCATGTTGCACATCCTAAAAACTCCCAATCTGAGTGGTTTCCAAATTCAACTGGGATGCCTGCATGTATAAATGTGCAACACACATAAAAAGCAACCTTGCACATGCACTGCATACACACCTGCTCATCCAGCTGTGGCGTGGCTACGCTTAGACTCAGTAAACCCTGTAATAGCTTTGCTGAGACAGAGATCATGCTTCAGCCTGTTCAAGTGTTGCCCCTCTATGAGAGTGATAAGCCATCACCTGGGCCTGGGAAGAGCGTTAAACTTTAATGCTATACTACGTTGCTAAGAGGTACTGAAGCGCAGAATGGTTGGAGCCATATGCACGGCGGAAATAATCTCCAAAGTTAGGTCTTCAACGGGAGCCACTGCGATCGTCGCGCAAGCTTGATGAGTCCGAGGTGTAAAATATTTATACCACTTGCATGATGGCT